TAAAATGCCATGCATAAAGGTTTTCTTTTCTTTTCTCTTTTGGCTTTTAAAAGAAGAAAAGTTTTGTCTTAAAACATAAATCTTAGAATCTTGTCCTAAATTCTAAGGTTGGAACTCACTGGATCCTATAATGGGTCATAGTGGCATTTTGACTGGAAGAAAGGACAGAATGAACATCACATGAAAGTCTTGGCTTAAGGTATAACATACTCATTAGATCCTTATGTCTCACTGTGTACAAAGCTCAACTCTAAGTGGATCAAAGACCTTGGCATTAGACCATAGACCCCGTGCCTAATAGAAGAAAAAATAGGCCCAAATCTCCATCATGTTGGCTTAGGAACTGAATTCCTTAACAACACTCCTAAAGCACAAGAAGTAAAATCATGAATCAATAAATGGGATGGAATAACACTAAAAAGCTTCTTTACAGCAAAGGAAACAATCAAGAATGTGAAGAGAGAGTCTGCAGAATGGGAGAAAATCATTGCCACATGTACCTCAGATAAAGCATTAATCTCCAGGATCTACAAAGAACTGAAAATACTTAACCCTAAAAACAACAAACAAACAAACAAACAACCAAACACTCCAATTAATAAATGGGCAAAGGAACCGAACAGGCATTTCACAGGAGAAGAAATATGATTGGTTAACAAATATAGAAAAGATGTTCAACATTTCTAGCACTTGGAGGAATGCAAATTAAAACTCACTGAGGTTTCATCTCACTCCAGTCAGAAAGACAATTATCAAGAATACAAGGAACAGTAAATGTTGGTGAGGATGTGGGGAAAAAGGTGCACTCATACATTTTTGTTGTGACTGTAAATTGGTGCATCCGCTTTTGAAAGTATGGAGATTCCTCGGAAATCTTGGAATGTTTTGTACCACCATTTGACCCACCTATCCCACTCCTCAGTTTATACCCAAAGTACTTAAAATCAGCATACTACAGTGATGAAGCCACATCAATATTTATAGTATCTCAATTCACAATAGCTAAGCTATGGAAGCAATGTAGGTACCTCTCAACATATGAAAGGATAAAGAAAATGTAGTATATATACACAATGTAATATTATCCAGACTTAAAGAAGAATAAAATTATGGCATTTTTTGGTAAACGGATGGAGCTGGAGAATATCATGCTAAGTGAAATAAACCTATTCCAAAGGGGGAAAAAAAAAGGTATAACATACTCAGAGATATTTGATTATCACATGGGCAATTTCCATGTAGTTAGTTCAGAACTCTCCCTGAAAAACCAGGTAGCTTTCAGACTAATGGTCAGTAAAGTTCAATGAATTCAATATGGTCTATCTGAGTAATTCAGTTATCTGGGTTTATTGTTCTTTTTTTTAAATTATAGGAAGGCTCTTTCTGGAATAACAGTAGATTTGATGGATAGAAGAGGCTTGTTTCTATCTGTAATGTGTATATAATTCCTACTTGATGGGTCTTTAAATGAAAAGATCTCTAGTAGCTTTTTGAAAAATCAACCATTCCTCACAACAAAAGCCCATTTGGACACATCCAAGATTTGACTTTGCTGGAGCAAAGGGGGCTGATGTGCTAGACTCCCTCCCATTCACTGAAGGTCCTAGACATATACATTCCTGTTTTGCAAATGGGCTCTCACAAGGAGTAAATAATGGGACAATGCTATGAAAAAAATGTGCAAAAAAATTATCATTTCTTAAGATAAAACAGAGAGCATCTATTGTTCTGTATGAAATAAGTACCACTGCCATTCTCCAGGACTCTTTGAAACAATTACCAAGTGGTTGAAGTGGTTGGAGGCTCACTTTTATCTTCATGTAGATTGTTCCACATGTAAAAAGGTAAAATTCCAGTAAGGAAAAGAACATGGAAAAGCATTGGAATAAATACTGCCTCTTTTTATATCATGAATTTTATTTAGATTGGTGATTTAAAATGTTAAAGTAAGGTATTCTTTCATTTTTGGCTGGCTTTTAAACACTCTCTTGAATGTTTGCATAAAGTGTAAAATGAGAAGGCTGAGAATCCGTGATTGTTATCAGATCATTATCATTCCTATAGACTGAGGACAAGCAGCAGACATTAGTTCTACTGCCCATTATTTCAGAAGGGTAGCTATGAAGCTTAATGGAAAAGATAAATGCAAAACACTTGGAAGAGTATTTGGGACATGGTGAATGCTCTGTAAATGTTAACTATCATCATTGTCATCACCAGAATTAGAATATTATACATCTCCACATGAGTGAATGAGAATGAAGGATGAAAATGAACACTTATTGAGTATTCTCTGGGACCATGTGAAAGGGCTTTCACATATTTTGACTCTATTCTCACAACATCTCTGCAAGATTATTATAAAAGATTGTGCAGGATTCTGTAGTTATGTTACTCTGGGCAGATTTGACTAATGCTTCTGAGTAACATTTTACTGTGAGCCAGTCATGTCATGTACTCCACAAGGCAAGTCCACATGCATCTGCTTGAATTGCACTGGGAACTGTTCCTACCACTTAATTACGTTGTTTCCAAATGGAAAAACAGACATGTTTGCTTATTCAGCTACTCCAGACAGGAAAAAAAATCTTCATGAAGAGGAAGTCTTCTTAGAAAGAGGTCTTTGCCATCCTCCATTCCTTTCTTTAATTCCTAATTCTTCCTAGAACACTAACAACCTCTCAATGCCTTTGTTCACGGAGTCCCTTTCATTCATAAAATATTCACTAAATTGTCTAAAGGTAATATTCCTTTCAGAGCTAGATGCATTTTACATCGGGACTTTGGGTGGCACAGAATCTTTAAAACTCTAGAAGAGGTAAAGAATTTGAAATGGTGGAATTCTAGGTATTATGAGACACTATAGGAGAAATTTGGGGACATGTAGTTGTCCCAGAACTTTCAAAAGACACCACATAACTGGGCATGGTGGTGCATGCCTATAATCCCTCAGTGGCTCTGGAAGCTGAGGCAGGAGGATTGCAAGTTCAAAGCCAGCCTCAGCAAAAGCAAGGTGTTAAGCAACTCAGTGAGACTCTGTCTCTAAATAAAATACAAAATAGGTCAGTGGGTGTGGATGAGTGGCTCACTGCTCCTGAGTTCAATCCCTGGTACCAAAACAAAAACAAAAACAAAACACCAGATAGGATACCTTTGAGTCAACTTGGAGAGTAAATTTTTTTTTCTTGTATTTCTTGACCTATTTAGTTCATAAATGATCTGAAGATCAGAGCCCTGCACCATCAAAAACTGGTTTCACCACTTTGATATCCACCATCTCTTTTAAAGATGCTCATTAAAAAGAAAATTTAATTAGGTTTGCTTCCATCTGTATTTACTTGGCTCTATAAAATCACAGAGAACAGAAAATTTCCCCCTAGGTAAATGCAATGGTCTGAATATGTACTGCAAAATTAATATGCTGAAACTTGATTGCCAATGAGATCTTATCAAGAGAGGCCTTTAAGAGGTGATTAAGTCATGAGAGCAGAGTTCTCATAAATGATATTAGCAACCTTATAAAAGGGTCAGTGGGAACTAGCAAGGCCCTTTTTGTCCTTCCAACCTTCCTCCATGTGAGAGCAAAGCATTTGGCCCCACTCCTCTGGAGGACACAGCAACAAGGCACCATCTTAAAAGCAGAGACTGGGCCTTAACCAGACACTGAACCTGCCAGCCTCCAGAACTGTGGAAAACAAATTTCTGTTCTTTATAAATTACTCAGTCTTGGGTATTTTGTTTTAGTAGCACAAATAGACTAATACGGCAACTACTAACTGTTCATTTTTGGTGCTAGGTTTTCTTCTTAATATGAAATATTTAGGTCTTCAATTTATCCTGCATTCACATGAGCCAATAAATTCAGGCATAGGAAATCGTTTATATTGTTTCCACAGGTCCTCTTTTCTCTGCCTTCTCCCCACTCCAAGTTTCACTAAACACTTCTTGATAAGAAATGCTCCAAGCCTTTTGTTTGTTTAAAGTCTCCTTTTCCCTACCCAGTGTTGTATTTTTGTCTACAATAGATATTCCATAAAAATATTGTTTTGTAACTATTTCAGAAATTTGAAAAATTAAAAGATACCTTTTTTAATCTTCAAAAAAAATTTAAGTATTCTCCTTTTCCTTCTTCTTTTTTGAATGGGGGATTGAACCCACTGAGCTATATCTCCAGCCCTTTTTATTTTTATTTTGAGACTCCGGTAAGTTGCTAAGACTCATCTCAGACTTTTGATCCTTTTGCCTCAGCCTCCTGAGTTACTGGGATTACAGGCATGTGCCACCATGTGTGGCACACATATGTAGGTGTCTTTAGGAGGAAAACCATTGCTGTGAATCAGGAATATTCAGAAATGATCTCTCTGGGCAATTAACTGTAGATTAGGGTGTATCAAAAGTTATCATAGTAAAATGATTCTATGGTATAAATGTGGGGCTTTTAAGATGAGAAATCTGAATCTCAGTGGCTCAGGAGGCTGAGGCAGGAGGATCACAAGTTAGAAGCCAGCCTCAACAACTTAGTGAGAGCCTGCCTCAAAATGAAAAAGAAAAAGAAAAATGATAATGAGGGGCTAGGGTGGTGGCTCAGTGGTAGAGCACTTGCTTAGCATGTGTGAGGCCACTGGGTTCTATCCTAAGCACCACATAAAATATAAATAAAATAAAGGTATTGTGTCCATCTACAACTAAAAAAAATCTTTAAAATAAAAAAATGATAATGAGAGATCTGCCTTCATAGTGGGATTAATGCTATTATGTAAAGAGGAGTTCATCCCCTTTTGCCTCCCTGACCTACCACCTTCTACCATGTGATGACACAATAAGAAAACCCTCATCAGTGCCTTGATTTGGGACTTGCCAGAATCTAGACATGTAAGAAAATTAACATCTGTTCATTATACATTCCCCTACCCAGTCTGTGGCATTCTGACATAGCAGCACAAAGTTGACTAGGCCAATAAGACAAGTCTTAATGCAAAAGAAAAAGTTGGTAAGTTTACCAGAATTCTGGAAATCCATGAAGCAGTAGCATAAGCGGTTTGCCTCTTTCTCCAGCAGCAACATAGTGAAATCTTAACCCAGAATCCTAAAAATGGAAAGCATGAAATTTTAGTGATGTTTGGTGTTGATTGTCAAGCTAATACATTTAGTATTTCCTTCATTTAAAAATATTTGAATTAACATCAAGAAATAAAATAAATATTATTAATTTACAAAAAAAACCCCATGATCTATCAATAGGATAAGTAGACTTATTCACTTTTGCCTACATTCCCTTCACAGTATCTTCCCTTCTCATTCTTAGTATAAGGTCAATTTATATATTTTGAGCATCTGAAGCCATGTCACAATTTGTAACTTTCATTTATTGATGTGTCACACTTCATCTCACTCAAATTCTGCAGGATATGTCTGATCTGTGGAATTCTGATCTGAATTGATAATCCTGCCAAGTTTACCTCCGAGTCATGTACTTTTCTCAGCTTGCCCGTCAAAAGCTGTGCCATCAGTTATATAATTCACACCTCCTTCCCTTATTTTTAGGTCTCTCCTTCCCACATTATTATTTTGAGTGTTGCATGTACCATTCTTATTGCTGCCTGTTTCTCATGGCACATCAGTGTGTATTTCTAACAGAAGAATACTCTGAGTGCTCAAGACTTCACTGTGTACTTTGGGAGACAAGAAAGCCCAAGGTGAATAGAGAATAGAAATAAGAGAAGAATACAGCAAATAAGCAAATTGAAGAAAAGAAAGTAGAGAAACAGCAAGAAAGAAAAGCAAAAACTGAATGCAAGGAAAGAAACCAAGAAGCTGAATGATAGACACTGGGTTTTATACAGATTACCCAAGCAATTGGATTTTCAGATGTAAGAGATCCTTAAGAGTCATCTAATTCAACACCATAAATTTATATATTTAGAAAATGAGACCCAGGTGGGCCTGGTGGTGCATGCCTGTAATCCCAGTGTCTTGGGAGGCTGATGTAGAAGGATTGAAAGTTGGAGATCAGCCTTAGTAACTTAGCAAGACTCTGTCTCAAAATAAAATAAAATAAGAACTGGAGACATACTTCAGTGGTAAAGCACCCCTGGGTTCAATCCCCAGTCCAAAAAAAGAAAGAAAAAATAAAAGAAAATGAGGACTAAAGATGTAGCACAAGTCATAAAGGTGGGTGGAAGCAGAGCAGTGACTAGAATCCCCATCTTGCCCTAACTCCCAGGACAATTTTCTTTCCACTCCTTAGTCCTACATCTCTGAGGAACTCTTTAGGAGGCTAGAGTCAGAGGAAAGGCATTATGAAGAATTCTAGATGGCTCACATATTACTTTTAGTCCTCAAGTTGGATAAAGTTAGCAAATCTGACTTGGTCCTCAACGTCAGAATCCCTTCTTAGAAGTTCAATACTTTTTTTGTGTGTGTGATGGGTCTTAGAGGATGAAGCAATACATACTTTATTGCACTATATGCCAGACACCATTCTAAGGTGGTGGTGGTGGTGGTGTGTGTGTAATTTGGGGGCAAATATTAACTCACTTAATTCTTATATTAATCCTAGGCTGAACAAGGGCAAGAAGAACCTTTCTTGAGTGACCTGTGTAAAGAAACCTCTTGCCCTTCTTGCCCTTCTGAATTCCAGCTGCTGGGCAATTTAGCTCTTAATAGGAAGTCAGGACTTGGTGACATAAACATCTCCTCATAGGATGCTGGTTTTGAAAGGCCTGTGAGTCATACTGTAGAGTGGATCACAGGTGCCATTTCCTTTTCCCACTTGGAGTCTCAGGAAATAGAATATTTGTGAGCCATGAGAAGGCTTAGGACAAGCATGGATAATTAAGGAGTGCATGCATAGTTGGCATATACTTTAAAAAATTTTTTTAGATGTTGATGGACCTTTATTTTATTCATTTATTTATACATGGTGCTGAGAATCGAACCCAGTGCCTCACACATGCTAGGCAACGCTCTACGACTGAGCCTCAGCCCCAGCCCCAGCATATATTTTTTATTCCATTCCTTTGGTCCCTGACTTCATAAGCCTGCTTCCCTCCTCACAAACATATACTATTTATTCATTGTTTCATGCTGACTATTCATCTGTGGTCAAAATAGACTCCTGATTTCCAAAGACTTATTCTGTTTATCTCAAAATTTGGGCATGGACAGCCAGCCGCCTGAGACAGTAGGATATCACCAGGAACAGTTCCTACAACTGATCTGAGCTCTAAAGGGCAAAAAGGTGGCAGGAGACAGCTTCCCTTTGCAATAGGAAAGGAGCAGAATTATTCCGGGTTGTTATGGCAGTGGGAGGAGGGAAGAACAACACAAGAAGACTCTGATTAGCGAACTCCACATTCAGAAACCAACCAAGACGCCTGCACACCGGATTTGCTGTTTGTCATCTCTTAAAAAAATCTCTGTCTCTGTCAGTCTCTGTCCCTCTCTCTCTCTCACCCCCACACACGCATACACACACACACACACACACACACACACACACACGCTTACAAACCGGACCCCTCTCGTGCCGCACCTCATCCCACCTGCCTCTCCCCTTGGCATCTTCCGGGTCCCCACCGCGCGCCCTGCAGCCAGGGTAACTCTAGGGGACGCTGAGTCGGGCGTCATGGAAGGAGCAACCCCGCGTCCCCCGCCCCCGCGGCTGTCACGTTTCCTCCCGTTACCGCCAGGCCCGCACCGGCCTTCACCTTGATCCGCACGTAGCAGTGGGTACCCAGAGAGGGGTCATTCATGCACGCAGGAGGGTGTTCCCGGGTCACCCGCCGGAAGGTCTGTGCGGGTCCCTTGCCGATGCTCCACAAAAGTTTGAGCAGGTGGACGGAGGCACAAAGCCCGCAGTAGCAGTAGACCAAGGACCAGAAGAGCAAGGACCGGATCGTCACCATCAGGCGGGGCAGGCAATCCCGCAGCCTCGCCATCGGGCGGCGGCGGCGGGGCCCGCTGTCCTTCCTTGGGAGCTGGAGAGCAAGCGCCGCGGCGTGTCAGGCCGGCCCGCAGTCGCCAGCTCCGCGCGCGCCTCCCCCGGGCTGTGTCACAGCCGGCTCGCGTTCCTCGTCAGCCGCAGGCTCCCGCACACACGCGGCGCGCTCGGGCCCCTGCGCCCAGCCCGGAACGCAGAGGGGGAGACCCCCGGCTAGCCAGGAACCAGGCAAGGGCGGAGCCCACCCTCCTCTTCCTATTTAACAGTTGTTGAAATTGTGGGCAACCTCAAGGCGAGAGATTCCAACCGTTCTTCTGGGTGCTGCGGAAGTGCCACTCTTGTTTTGATGGGTGTTCAAATCCTCCCTTGCCCCGCTAACTGTTGGAATTTTATCAGGTCTTCTGGATCAGACTAGTGAGGTGCAGGGAGGAAGGGGGTAGCAAATGACTTTTGTACTACATTACAGACATTCCCGACAATCTTCTGAAAGTGTCAATATTCTCCGACTAGGTTAAAAGTTGTTTCCAGCCCAACTAGAAAGCAAATAGGCACTTTAAAACAAGCTTAGTCCCTGGCGACCGTCTGTTTTCTGTCCCTACAAGTCCTCCCCACCTCCATCTTTGTTTCTTTTGCCACAGAATTGTATAAAAGGAATCATATAGTACAGTATGTAACCTTTGCTTCTGGCTTCTTTCACTTAATGTAATTGAGATCCACACACGCTGTTGCATATAGCTTTTCTTGCTGATTACTACTTCATAGGTATACCATAATCATTTGTTACTCAATTTCCCAATTAAGGAACATTTCTTTCATTTCTATTTCTTCTTCTTCTTCCTCCTCCT